GGTGTCTGAGACTGATGGGGTAAAGCAGAAGGGCAAAGGGCTAATTGAAGAGGCTTATGTCTTGAAAAAAGGAAACCTATATCAACGTAGAGGTAAACTTGAGCTGCTAGTTGTTCCAGCTGCCCTAAGGTTAACTGTAATGAAGCTAGGCCATTCCATACCTTGGGCGGGACATTTGGGTAAACATAAAACACTAGCTCACATTGGTGCACGTTTCACATGGCCAAACATGCTTTGATGTGACCGAATTTTGTAAAACATGTCAGGAGTGCCATTTAACATCAGGCAAATCAGTCCCTACCGCACATTTGCATCCTCTTCCTATAATTGAAACTCCATTTGAGAGGATAGGAATGGACATAGTGGGCCCCTTGGAAAGGAGCAGGACAGGGAACAGGTATATGTTGGTGGTATGTGATTCTACTAGACGATAGCCTGAAGCTTTCCCTTTACATACTGTGAAGGTCAGGCAGGTAGGGAATGCTCTTATACATCTGTTTGCAAGGGTAGGCCTCCTTCGGGAGATTCTGACAGATCAGGAAGCGAACTTCCTATCTAGCTTACTGCAAGGTGTCTACAAGCTGGTAGGCATACATGGCATTAAGACCTCCTCCATCATCCTCAAACAGATGGCTTAGTGGAACAATTCAACCAGACCCTGAAGTCAATGCTCCGTAAATTTGTCTCTCAGACCGGTACTGACTAGGACCAGTAGCTTCCCTATCTTCTCTTTGCTTACAGAGAGATTCCCCAGGCATCTACAGGATCTCCCTTTGAGTTGCTTTATGGACAACACATGAGGGAACCATTGGATTTCCTGAAAGAGAAGTGGGAGGAACCCAAGGCCACTGGAGAGAATGTGGTAGCCTATGTGGTAAAGATGAGGGAGAAGCTGGAGGAGATGACGCCGCTGGCCCAGGAGCATCTGCAGAAGGCACAGAGCAGTCAGAGAGCCTGGTATGACCAGAAAGCCCATACTCAAGAGATCAAGCCAGGACAGGAAGTGTTGCTGCTTCTGCCAACCAGTGAAAGTAAACTCCTGGCCAAATGGCATGGACCGTATAAAATCACCAGGAAAGTGGGACCAGTGACATATGAGCTGTTTATGCCTGAGCGGAGCAAGAAGCACCAAAAGTTCCACATCAACCTGCTGAAAGAGTATTGCAGAGGGACTGTAACAATGCAGCAACTCATGGTACGAGCCGTAAAAGAAGAAGAGCTGTCAGGGCAGTATTTCCCCACTCAGCCAGCAGGACAGCCTGTGGATCTGTCTCCCTTATCATCAGAAAAACAAGAGCAGGTGGTGAATTTCCTGGACCTGACACTCTTCACAGAGAAGCCTGGATACACCACAATGGTTTAACACAAGATTCACCTTCCGAAAATACACCAGCCTGCCAGAAGCGTTACAGGGTCCCAGAAAGACTGTTACCTGTGTTGCAGGAGGAGCTCAATACTATGACAATACTAAGAGATGGGGGTGATTTGAACCCTCAGATAGTGAGTGGTGCAGCCCAATAGTGCTGGTACCTAAAAAGGATGGGACAATGAGATTTTGCATTGACTTCAGGTTGATCAAAACCCTGTCAAAGTTTGACCCATACCCGATGCAACGAGTAGATGACTTGGTTGAGAGGCTGGGTAGGGCAAAGTACATCACTACCATTGATCTGAGCAAAGGATACTGGCAGGTCCTTTCCTGTGCCTACAACAAAGAAGAGGGTGCGATCTTTCCTTGGACTGGTCGGTTGGTACTGGAAATTTATACTGCAGTTTTCCACTAGAGTGGCAGCCCTTACTGACCTCACAAAGAAATCTGCACCAGGGACTGTGAAGTGGTCAGAAGAGTGTGAAAAGGCATTTCAGGACCTGAAAGATGCTCTGTGTGAGGACATGGTTTTGCAGAGTCCTGACTTTTCAAAACCTTTTATTCTGCAAACCGATCCCTCAGGTTTAAGACTGGGGCTGTGCTGTTACAGGAGGATGGGGACCAACGCCGACCAGTGGCTTTTATTAGCTGGAAACTGTGTCCTTGTGAGACTTGATACTCCACAATTGAAAAGGAGATGCAAGGACAATGTAAAATGGGCAGTGGACTCCTTTAGATATTACCTATTGGGTAGACATTTTGAACTAGAGACAGACCACAGAGCTCTTGTGTGGTTGAATAAAATGAGAAATTCAAATGCTAGAATCACCAGGTGGTATTCGTCCTTGCAACTTTTTAAATATACTGTTAAATACAGGACTGGTGCTTCACAGTGGCAGATTCTTTGTCCAGAGCAGCTGAGGAAGGGTCCTGAGGCCCCTTCCATCAGCTGGAGATGGGGGAGGGAATGTGACGGAGCTGCCCTCCAGCACAATATATATATGCAAAGACTTTCTATGTATTGGGGACATTTCATATTCAAACAAACAGACACATGCTGTTTTTAAATAGCCTTTATTAATTGATAGTGTTTAAACTGGAAAGCTGAAGTTGAACTGTGAACAAGAGCAAACCTGCAGTTAACAAAAAAGAGAAAAAAACTTTATGTTGAATATAAACTGTTTATTTAAAAATGTTAAGAGTGAATGTTGCTTGCCTTAGCAATGTAACTAAACCGTTTAAGCACTGTTATATTTCTGAATGACTGGGGAAGTCAAGAAAAAGTTTAATTGAGTAACTAAATTACTAAAACTAAAAAGTACTTACCTGTGAATAGATCCCAGAGAAAGGTAGCCATGTCTTCATTCATGGAAGAAAACAGTAGCCTTTGTCTGGTGAGTTTTTATAGTGAATTTCCTTCCTGTTTCACTTCCTGTTTAGCTCTGTAAAAGCCATAGAGGGAGCAGAGTGCGTTAGTCTGGTAGAGAGGGTTGATGGAATGTGGTTGGAGCCCAAAAAACGCTGAAATTGGCATTGAATAATGGACTATTCATACTGAGTTGTATATATTTGTAGCTATTGAGTTTCTTTAGGTTTTTTTCTTTTCCTGTTTTTCGCACTAGATAATTTACATTTTTTGTGTGTGTTTTCTTCACTGAGATTCAATAAACACCCGCTTTTGCACCCTAACGTGAAACGTACCCACGTGTCTTTTCCACTGGACCATCACAGTAATGGTTTAAGTTATGTCAAAGTCTCTGAAGTACCATTGTGTGAGATGGCAAAAAAATGATTGAAGTGAAATTAGGCTTTGGAGAGCAACTTCTTTGTAGAGATGTTCCAGCTTTTTTGTAAAGCTATGCCAGAAAGATTTCGCAGTTCTTCAACCACTGAAGAACGGTGGAATCTCATCCAAATTAAAATGTGATAAAAGTACTGAACCAAAAAAGCAACAAAAGCACAGACTGGACAGGGATAGTTCAAGAAGAGGGAGTACATATTTCCAGTTTTATATCTTCAGTTTTATCACTGCACTGCCCAGTTTAAGTGTTTATCGTTTGTTTGTTTGTTTTTGTTTGTTTGTTCGTTTATTTGTTTTTATCTTGATAATTTATGTGTTCCTCCTTTATTTGTAAAGATAATAGCATGCAATGGACCCTTGAACACATTGCCTTCTCTTATCAATGGAGAAAATCTCAGCATATTTACAGAAGTGGATTACGTGCTGTAAATAATATACGGCATCTCTTACCATCCTCTTCACTGCACACGGAGGCACAATAAATGGGTCCTTGTCCAGACAAGTTTGTCACAGTTAATTGGAACTGTTTAACTATTTCCTGAACTGTAAAAATAGGCATGACAACAACCTGTCATTTACCCAAGACATCTTAAATAGATATTAAGTAGCCGCTTACACTTGGCAGCAGATTGTAACATTACAAAACTACTCATGACACACAGTAAAAGTAAAAAAAAAAAAAAAAATATTTAATTAGTTTTTCATATATTTTTTCAAGGTCAACCTGACTTGTCAAGAGACATAAAGAAAAAAATATTTAAATCATGACAGCAAGGAAAATCTTCCCACAGTCTGCAGTCAGAGGCTTCTTGCCATCTGTGGCGGTGAGAGACTTTTTTGTTTTTCTCCCCCTTTGCACAACCACTAGTGACACTGTTTTAGCTTAGAGTCTCAGTGGCATAGCATTTGGCAGTAAAATTTTGTGGAAAGGTTGCTCTCAAAAATTGAAATTTGCTGATTTTTTTTTTCTGCAACCATCCACACCATCCACAACACTGTGCATGTTACAAAAGCATGGCTCTGTAATCAGAGAGTGCAGATGGCCTTGAGTCCAGACCTGTCTCCTATCTAAAACGGGCAAAATGCAATAATGAAGGTGCTTTACAGTTGCACAGCTTGAGACTTATATAACAGAAGAATGGAAAAAAAAATAGTTTTCAAAACTGGATCAGTTTGTGTCTGCAGTGCAAAAGCGATTAAGTGTTCTTAAAAGGAAAAGTGATGTAACACAGTGGTGCACATGGTTCTGTCCCAACTGGAGTGTGCTTCAAATTTGGAATTACAGTGAACTTGTATTTGTGTAATGTCAAACAAATTAATGGCATGCTTTACAGGAATAGGTTTTGCATTGGATTTATGTTAAGCTCACCTTCTCATTGATGTGTAGTGCAAAAAGTATTTTTGCTTACACTACTGCTTCTGTGTTGCTGATTATTAATTTTACTCTAACCAAGGCATGTTAAACTGGGTTCTTTCCTGGGTTTCTCCCAACGCAGCAGAGATTTGCATTTTCTCTTTCCTAACACTCCAAATTGAACTCATGCTAATTGCTAATTATCTGATGGGTGTGTTTAAATTATGCCAAACTGTGCAGAGCTCAGTTGGACAACTCATATTGTTGAGTTTGGAAAGCAAGAACAGAAGCTTATTGATTCTGCTCAGAGCTAACTGATTATTTTTAATTTAGTTTCTGAGCTCTGTTGCCTAGCCTTATGTCAAATGTGTTAAAACATAAGAATAAAATAAGCCTAATATAAAATGTGCTTAATTGTATATATTTTTTTCTCTACCTCTCTCCCTCCCTCCCACACTCTCTATAAACTTCACCAGTGTTGTATAGATAACTATGAAGATATGGTTCGGCTGCTGTTGAATCGAGGTGCAAGTGTCAATGCTCAGGATAATGAACTGTGGACACCGCTTCATGCTGCAGCTACCTGTGGACATACTGGCCTTGTCAAGATCCTCATCCAACAGTGAGTGTTCATGTGCATGCGTGTGTGTATGAATGTGAAAAAAAATAAACGTCTTCTGTGATTATCAAAAAAATTATCATGTGTTTCGTTATCTCAGTCTCACACTGAGAATAAGAGATGAATTAACAAAAAACCTTATCAAAATATTTTAGTAATTATGTTAACAATTGATGCCCGCCCCCTAGAAATTTGTATGACCAAAATGTAACTGAAGCAGGTTCCCACTATTTTTAAATTTAAGTTCAACAGAGTTTTCAGGAACCTGCTGGTCAATCATGACTTTCTGTTTCTCTGCGTTGTACATTAAATGCTAAATTCACTTAGTCATTCTTCAACATTGGAAAAGTTAGAGAGTACAAAAATGGAATGAATCAAAAGTGTGTTAAACTTTTATAAATCAGATAATGGCTATTGTTAGTGCCATCAAGTCGTTTCTCACTCTTGGCGACCATATGGTTCATCCATGGCTGTCAAAAACTGTAGTATTTGAAAATGTCAAGTAGTATTTGAAAATGTCAAATAACTGCTCTACAGTTAAAGCAATAATTAGGACAATTAAAATAGCCTCAGCTGTAGTGCACCTGCCTGGCAGAGGATGCAAGTGTATTTAGCCCATCACACATGGTGAGCAAGATAGCAAGAGATTAAAAAAAGTCTTTAAAGATAATACAGAAGATAGCACCATTTTTGGATCACTGACTCTCCTAAACTACAATTAGACACCACCTCCATGCCAACAGATCATTTGGAAACCATACCAAAGAGGTTTTTGACAACACTCAAAGTGAATTTGGCATAAAAATGATAAAAATGACCAAGAGATTTTAAATGAAAATTTAAACACATCTGCCAAAAAAAAAAAGGGTCATGGTTGGATCTTCCAGCAGGATGATAAAAACATTCAAAACCTGCTTGGAAAACGAAAAAGAGAAGATTCAGAACCCTTAAGGATCTGGAGAGTTTCTGTGAATAAGAAGAGGTCTCAGATTTTTTGCTCTGTGTTCTCCTGATCAAGCATTATAGGAGAAGACTCATTTCTTTTATGCTGGAAAAATGTGACACACAGTCATGTTTAAAAATAATAAATAAATAAATCTGCTTTTTTTCTTAGATTTACATTGAACTTTAGACTTTTTCTTATATTTTAATGTGAGATTGTGCTAATTAACTGCAAATTATTTTTTTCACAACCTTTTTTTACTCTCCTTATGGAGTTTGCCAATAATTGCGAGTTGTAATATATATCTAACTGTTCTTTTCTTTGCAGTGGTGCTGACCTTTTAGCAGTCAATTCTGATGGTAACATGCCCTATGACCTTTGTGAAGATGATTCCACTCTTGACATCATTGAGACAGCTATGGCCAACCGAGGTGCGTTTTGACTGCAGTAACTTTTAGCAGCTTCGGGTCCCCCTGGTCATAGTACCGTTATGACTCTACCTCTGATTTATATATTATCTTTTTTCAGTAAATCATCAGTATCGTCACCAACAACAACAGCAAGAGTACCTGAACAGAGTTAAAAATCAAACGGGTGCATCAGTAGACATTAGGACTTCACAGTATGGACATAAATGTGATGTTAGATTAAGTTGTTGGATACTGTGACTATGATATGAGAAGCTATAAATTGGGATTAAAATAGGACATCTGACTGCATGTCAAACAAGCACAGTTGGCATCATCATCAGTGAATAATCTGCCTTGAAAAACACCAAAATCCTGCCACAAGTGATATCACAATGCACATCACTCACACAGACACTCATACACAGTACACACAGACTCACACGCTTACGGCCTAACGCACAGCTGTGTCAGCACAAAAAATGGATTTAAGGTGGCACTGCATTTAAGGTGGCAGTAGATTTAAAGTAGCACTGAATTTAATGTGGCATTAAATTTAAGGTATCAGTAAATTTAAGGTGGCAGTGTATGGGATCAGTAATTTTTAGGTGGCTGTGTATTGAAGGTGTCAGTAAATTTAGAAGGCAGTGCATTTAAGGTATCAGTAAATTTAAGATTACAGTGAATTTAAGATATCAGTAAATTTAAGGTGGCAATGTATTTAAAATATCAATAAATTCAAGCTGGAAGTGAATTTAAGGTGGCAGTGCATTTAAGGAATCAGTAAATTTAAGATGTCAGTGAATTTAAGGTGGCAGTGCATTTAAGGAATCAGTAAATTTAAGATGTCGGTGAATTTAAGATATCAGTAAATGAAAGGTGGCAGCATTTGTAAGAAATCTGTAACTTTTAGGCGGCTGTGTATTGAAGGTGTCAGTAAATTTAGGGGGCGGTGCATTTAAGATATCAGTAAATTTAAGGTGGCAATGTATTTAAAATCAATAAATTTAAGCTGGAAGTGAATTTATGGTAGCAGTGCATTTAAGGAATCAGTAAATTTAAGATGACAGTGACTAAGATATCAGTGAATTAAAGGTGGCAGCATTTGTAAGAAATCGGTAAATTTAAAATGGCAGTGTCTTTAAGGTATCAATAAATTTAAGAGGGCAATGTATTTAATTTGCATAGAATTTAAAGTGGAACTGCATTTAAGGTGGCTCTGAATTTAGTGTGGAATTGCATTGAAGGTGGCAGTGAATTAAACATATCAGTAAATTTAAGGTGGAACTGGATTAAAGGTAGCACTGAATTTAAGGTGGAATTCATTCAAGGTAGCACAGAATTTAAGGTGTAACTGCATTTAAGGTAGCACTGAATTTAAGGGTTTTCTTTCATTAATGAACCTTCCCTTTCTAGTTATTATTACTCCACAATCAAAATTTGAATGGCTTCTCTTCCTACAGCATTTGATGTATAAGCATGAAACTTTGCAGAATCATAGATCCTGTACCCGAATAATAAGCTTGTGCTTATCCGGCATATAGTTTTCGTACAGCAGATGATAATTGCCGATTCCCCCCCCCATAGGAAATGAATGGCGGAATGTTCAATGTTCATGACATTCAAATGTAACTGCCACAAGTGATGTCACAATGCATATTTCTCAAACAGACACTCGTACACGACACACACAAACTTACATGCTTACAGCCTAATGCACGGCAATAACAGCAAAAATATTTTTTTTTGGTGGCACTACATTTAAGATAGCCCTGTATTTAAGGTATCAGTAAATTTAAGGTGGCAGCACATTTAAGGTAGCACTGAATTTAAGTTGCCACTACAGTCAAGGTAGCATTAAATTTAAGGTCTGGGCCACTTTGGCTTTTAAGACATTCTAGGGACAAATGAAATAGACAAAGACTGCAGTTTGCAAGAACTGTCTCGTTAAAGTACATGGGCAATACAACAAACATGCATAGCAACCTTCTTTGTTATCATCCTGATCTGGTTGTTGAGAAAACAGCTAATGTTGCCACAACTCGGAGTCAGCCTACAATTAACAGTTTTAAATCAAACCTCTTTACATCCCCAAGGGATATCAGTATTGTTTTATTTGCAAGGACCTTTGCCTATACAGTGTAGTCAAAAAGTAAGATTCTCGCCAAATGCTTCCAACACTGGAACCAAGATACGACATATTGAGCCAAAAATATTTAGCTGAAAACGTTTTAGGTTTACACAGTTGGAAAATATTTTAGTGAGACACAGTTGTGTTCTACAATTTAACCCCACAAGCGTTCTGCTTTCTGTCAGTTTATGGCTATTTTATGGCTATATTGGAACGATGACACACGCAGTCAGTTTATGTGTGTTAAAGAGGCATGAAGCTAAGCTACATTTTTCATATTGGTTGTCAAATTCTGTGAAACTGACTAATAAATATGTAATTCCTGCTATGTTCCTATTGAGGAGTATTTTATTTTTTTTCAGTTACAGAGATATTGTGATGTATCATAGAGCATTGTCTTGCAATATATAGAGTATCACAGAATCGCAGTATCGTGGTATCATCATTATCGTGTGCAGCATATTGTAATGTATCGTGAGATGCCCTGTGATTCCTACTCCTAGTTATGACAGTACAATTATGCCTAGGGGAATATATGTCAACAGTGTCCAGAAACACTGATGCTTTTTCATGGCTTATGCTCATCTCAAATGGACTGATGCACAGTGAAAACGTGTACTGTGGTCTGACGAGTCAACCTTTCAGATTGTTTACAAACATCATGGACATCCTGTTCTTCAAGCCAAAGAAGAAAAGGACCGTCTGGATTATCAGTGGGTAATTTGCATATCTGTGAAAGCACCACATTTTGAAGTTCAAGAGGCTTTATTGTCATTTCAGGTATATACAAGTACACAGTGAAATGAAACAACTTTCCTGTAGGACTCTTGCAATACAAGAACATTAATGCAAAACAATACAATATACACATGCAGACAATACAGTGCAATAAATAAATTACAATAAATACAAAACAGAACACAGGTACTACACTGTACTGAGAATATGTTGTGCAAAGGAGGATGTGACATACTATGACATATTAGCAGATGAACAGATATATGTGAACATAGCAGTCACTGATGTAGCAGCCAGAAAAGCAATGGAATATAGTAGAGCAACATATGCTGCATTTTAGACAGTCTTTTTCAGGGACACCCATGCTTATTCACATGGCGACACCAAGCCACATTTCTGTACGTTACAACAGCAAGCCTGCGTGGTCAGAGTGCACATGCTAGACTGGTCTGCCTGCAGTCCAGAGCTGTCTCCTTTTTTAAAAAGTAGTGCATTAAGCTCAAAATACGACAGTAAAGGCTCTGTACGATTGCGTAGTTGAAGAGTTGTATGACTGATGAATGGCGAAAAATTAACTTCCAAAACTGGATCAATTTGTGTCTTTGGTCCTCAAATAATAAAGTGTTGTTAAGTTCATAAAGTAAAATCATAGTAAATATTATGTTTTTGTGTTGTTTTTTAATTTAACACAAGTGTAGCAGGAGATTCGTGTTTAATTCACCTATTTCGCACTTACACAATAAACACAACTTACTTTTGGCTGGTGACATCAGGCCACAGTTACACATTGGCTGGCAGAAGCAAACTTCTGTATAAGGGCTTGCAGTCAGCACTGTTTACTTCTGTCCGTAATTCTATAACTATGCTTGCAGATTTCACGATGACCTATCGTTGGACAATCAGAACTTTAAAAATGAATAATTAGAACTTCAAAACAAACACATAACATAAAATGCTGTTTTTAATTTATAATTTTATATATTTAAGGAAAAGTACAAGATGTCCCAAAAAAATTGACATCATTTCATAGTCTAATCATATAGCCAAGTCTCCAGATCTCAAATGATGAATTTTAACAAAATGTGTAAAAACTGACCAAGTTTAATTTTTAATGTTTAATGTAATGCTGTTGAAATGGCCACCACGGTCACCTAACTTGACACCTTGTGATTATTTTGATAAATAAATCTTGGATTGTTCAGCATGAAGCCTATTTAATTTCGTTTGCCTAGGACATGTAGTTACTCAGATAATCACATCTCAAATGATGTCAATTTTTTTGGGATACCCTGTACTGTTCAGCGCTACTTGGCCCTATGTGAAAATGTAATTTCCTCCTTAGCTACTAAATCGACCAGGTAGCCACTTATTCTCCAAAGTATATTTTGGATTTTCCATCTGAATTTACATGCCCAAATCTTAAGGCAAATTATACAGGAACTGCATGAAATAAATGTAAAGTGTTGGTATTTTTTTTGTAAACGCTCCCCTTAAATTACCAGAAAACGTGTTTCATGATCATAAAAATAATGCCATATGCTTACAATTTACTGCTGAAAGCCAAAAATCTTAGATCCTCTTTTTTTAGAATTTTTTTTTTTTTTACAGAGCAAATCACTGAAGAGATCCCATCTGAAAACCAGTTTATAGCTCAGATTTGTGCAAAACTGGGTGATCTTTTAGTAGAAAAACAAATTGTGAGTTCAGCTTATTTTACTATGAAGTTTTTCAAGTCTGAGTAAAGGATGACAGGTGGCATTTCCAAGTGTTCTTTCGGTGTCTCCAAGTGTCCTTTTCATTCCAAACTACTAAAAGAGCATCTAACAAGAATTTCTCCAAACATACCATGTATGGGTTGTTTGGTGGGCATTAGCTCACACTAGCACACGCTGCCATGCTATACTGACAGTACTGGGTTCACACCAAGGCCAGAAATCTCTCCAAAATGCAAAATCAACTCAAACTCAAATAACATTCTATAGCATCACAGAGCTTCTGTCCATTGCTGGAAAACATGAATATTCCAAATACATATATACACGACATAATTCAGCATCTGTCAGAGTGAGATGCGCAGCAACTGTCTGTCAGATGCTCAAAACCTATTTCAGTTCAAGAGTTCAGACTCCATTCCTGAAAGCAGTCTTCATTAGTA